AAGCCCTCCACACTTGGATACTGCCTTCCTGAGCCTGCCTACCCACACTTGGTGCATCTGGCATTGAGGGGCAGGGCCAGTCCTTGCACTGTGTCAGGGCTGTGTGCAGCCTCACCTAACTACGTTGTACAAGGTATGAAATTTTTCATGACCCTGAGTGATGTAGCTAGGTCAACTAAGTTTTAAGGCCTTGGCCCTCCAGCCAGATCACTTTAAAGTCTCTCCCCCTGTGGAGCAACGAAATCCCACCAATCCCAGGACCTTTCATGCCTTAGGCTCCCAACTGCGGACCCTATGGTACTTAAATTCTTGTGAAAGTCCTGAAATTAGTTTATCCCCTTATATCAGGGGTTTTCATGCCACCTTCTCTGGTGGCAGCTAGGGAAACCCAGGTTCTTCCTCTTCTCTGGGTTCCAACCCAAGAATGTTGTAGTGACAGACCTTGCCTGCTCTATTTAGACCCACCCCTTGCTATCTCCCTGGGCTTCTTTCCACCTCAGCCTGTCAGCAGGCCTTTCTCCTCAGCTTCTTCAAGCCACTGTGTACCAGGATCCACAGCCTCTCTACATTCACCTCTGTTTCAGATCAGGAGGTTGGAGGGATCCCTCTGGAGTCCTCTTTAAAAAATCCCAGGTGAAGATACAAAGTTACACTAAATTCTGCGTTCCTGTGCTTGACCTTCCATTGCTCTCTTGAATACCTCCTGGGCTCTCTCAGGAAGTCAGATCATTTAATCATGGCTCATCACTGGGGCCTGCTCCATGTCTTTCCTGACCTTTTTTTGCCAGAGCTTCTTCTGAAGAGAGGATCCCACGGTCTATTGTCCGCCAGGCTTCCTGAAGCCCCTCCTTTATAGTAGCTGTCCAGCTCCTCCCCAGCTGCGTCTCATCCTAAATTGATTTTAGCTCATCATTCAGAAGCACTAAGTGAGTTCTCCAGCTCTCCTTAACCCTGTCCATCACACTGCCCTACCTCCTTTTGGGGTCTGTGTGAAATGTTGCTTGTTTCTAGTGCTTTCGTTGTCCTGTAAATATGGAAACTTATGAGGATCCCTCGGTATTGTTGGGCATGATAGAGACTATTACATTAGTATATATGTTGTTGGGGAAGAGTATCAAATTGTGAGGAGCAAGTGAGTACAGTTCTCCCACTCACACCTTGAATGAGTTGAAACTGTTCCAGGAAGATTAATTGCAGACAAAATATATTAATCATTCACTTTTTAAAATTGATATTCCTGGAGTAATGGTGTTGATAGAGAGGATTTTAGTGGAGTATTTCATCCAAAGGATAAAATCAACTAATCCATATGTCTTTCTCCTCCAATGCATATTTAGAATAGCCCAAGATAACATTCCTAGCAACTTTTATTTAACACTAGGCAATCCAGACAAGATAACTTTGTGTTTATAACAGAGCATACTGGTAACTGTATATTTATATTAGAGCATACTGGTGTATAACAAGAGCTACAGTGTGCTGAATATAGTGATTATACTTGGACAAACAGTATGAGTCTACATTCACAGGTGCATGATATCTGGGAGGTTCTAGATTCAGTTAATCAGATTAACTGTTTTAGCTGGCATAAGCTAAAATACATGTCTAGATAACTGTGTGGTAAATTGACAAACTGTGGAATAAAACATTTCCCAATGTCTAACTTAAGTTTGTTTCTAAACAAACCTTGGAATGTGAAGGGATGAGCCTATCTCAGTTCTCTAAACTGGGGATGAAGTATGTTGGGACCTATGGCCAATACATGCAGCAGGAATAGCCACCTGGACAGAGAATGGAATTTACCTAACAGATAAAGAGGAACATCCTTTCTGTAAAGCCAGGGGTGGTTCAGGCACAGTGGGGGACCCCTCTCATGTAATATTTCAACCCCCACCCTTAATGTTATTTTTTGAGAGGATGTAATGGCAGTGACAGGCACAATGGAGTCCAGAAGAAATAAAAGGTGATCCAGAAGCCTATGCAGGCAATGGTCAAAGGGTGTTGACTCCTCCTCAGTCCAAATATATTAAGTAATTGGGTCATTAAGGCAAGTATGAAAGACAGAGAGGAGAGGCCTCTGACCTCCCAACCCACACCAATATCCCCACTTACCCAGTGTTATGTCTTGGCTTACAATATGGGTCAGCAGCCAGGTCCATAATGGCTGGGCTAGGGCGGGGTTTGGCCTTCCTACTGTTCATGAGGCACAGCTTGCTCTACTTGTTCTTCATGTGGTCTGGAATCAGATTACTTGAACTGCCAGGTCTAGGGTGACCAGATCAGAGGAAGAAAATATTGGGACACATGGGGGGGTCCACCAGCAGAGAGAGAAAAAAAAAAAAAAGCCGAGCGCTGCCGGCGGAGCGAAATATTGGGAAGAATTGCAAACACCTAAATATTGGGACATCTGGTCACCCTAGCCAGGTCCCCAAATCCATCCCGGTTTCATTGACACTGCCGCCTCTTCATTCTTCCAAAATAAATTACTTCTGCTCTCCCAGTCAATTCTTGTGCCCAATTAAATCTTTGTGTCATTTTTACACCACCATCAAACAATCCTCTTTTCCCCCCACCTCCACTATTGCCAACCCCAAATGTTTAAAAATCATGAGTCAGGCTCCCAAAAATTATGAGATGGTCTTAAAAATCAAGACTTTTTAAAAATGAATGTAACATTTTCTTGTTTTATCTGCTTTCTGGGCCTTTGGGGGTTCTCTGGGGTCATGTTTTCAAGCTTTTCTCTGCAACCATGAGGGCTAGAAATGTATTTTTAACAAAAGATGAGAATTTCTCCTAATCCTAAGATTCCAGGGTCTAAGTATTTAAAAATAAAACCAAACAACCAAATATTGAATCTTGTGATAAAATCATAAGACTTGACAAGGTGGTTCCCACGCTGCCCAAACAAATCAGTCCTGTCCGGCAAAAAGGAGTGGGGCTCAGCCATTGCTATTGTTGCTCCTCTGTTCCCCTTTTCTGAATGAGCAAAAAGCTTCCAGCTCCTTCTCTTGCACTTGGCCCTGTGCTCTTCTTCTGCCTAGTAGGTGGAGTAGTAGCTCCGAAGCTGCTCTGTTCCTCACTTCCCTTCCTCTCTTGTGATCGCAGCTGCAGCTCTAGATGTTCTCTATCCACTCCTCGCCTGAGCTGCTTTGCCCACCCCTCTCCTGTTGAAGGGAGCAGCAGTTCTCTCCCCTTATTTGAATGTTGTCTAAAGCTAGGGCTCCCTTCCCTCTGCTGAGTTCATAGCTTCTGTAAACCATCCCTGCATCTGTTGCTCCAACCTTTATGCGCGCGCGTGTGTGTGTGTGTGTGTGTGAAATTTTATCTTGACATTTTTTTCACATGTGACATCCCATCATTCTTTGCTATATCGTTTCTATTCGCATTCCATTTGGGATCTCTGTTGGTAAAGCTGTCCCAATTTATGTAGGGTTCTTTGTGACAAAGGATGTGACTCTGCTTAAAAAAACAGCATTAATGTGCCCTGTCAGAAGGGATTAGATAACAATGGTTTGTGAAAATTCCATTTGGGATGGTGGATTGTTTTCCAGGGTGACACTTATGCCATCAGATGTTTCAATTTTATCATCTCTACCTGGAAATGTCTTGTGCTCCAAAAATTGAATTAAAAACCCCAAATCCAACACAATGAGCAGTTTTTAAAATTACTGTTTTAACCACACAAACCTTCCAGTCCATGAAAATAACAAATACAACATTATATATATAAAAATTTAGAATCCCTCTCCTTTGTTTACCCTACTGCAAATATGTTTGCTTAAGAGCAATAAGAGTTTATAGTGCAACTTTGCAATCCAGAGTTTCACATAAAATGTACAACAGACTACCCAGATGGCAAATGCTGATATGTAAATCTAAAACATGAAAATTTCCACTGGGGGCCAGATGGTGGCTTAATGTGAACTGTCTAACATTTATGCTTATCTTATTAAAACTGCCTTTACAAGTCCAAAGCTGTATAAGTTAGCAGTGTGGTTTGGAAAAGACTCTGGAACGGCATATCACTAAATGAATAAAAAAGCAAACACTGAGCAGAAGGCAACATTTACTGCATGGACCATGGAAGAGAAAAGCAGATCCATATCTGATTGGAAAGGTGGTTCTTCCTCCATTTATAGATAGGTAAAGGAAAAGCCTCCAAAATCATTGTTCGCCTAATTTTCAAAGGCACTGTGCACACACAGCTCCATTTGAAGCACGAAATAGTTGGACTATGATACCGAGGGATGTGACATACACATTGAATAACCTAATGCTTTGCATTTTCCATTAAAACATATTTTTTGAGGTGTGGAAAAAAAATTTTTTAAAGCCCTAATCCTGCACCCTTAAAATCAGTGGGAGTTTTGCCCTTTACTTCAATTAAAGCAGGATTGAATTATTAGCCTAAACTAGAGGAAAATATCCCTGATGGAAAAACTAGTTCAGATAAGATCATTTTCCTAATACTGAGATGGTCCAGCTTCTTCCTTCGGCATTCATCTTTTTAGCTTTTGCCCAAACAATTGTTCTCTCCTCAGTTGTGTAAGCTCTTGCATCATGTCAGAGGAAATAAACAGCCACTTGTGAAGTAAGTCACATGGTGCACCACTAGAGCCCTTACAGTAAATGCCTTCTGTATTAAGGATGTGGTAAGCAGGGCTCTGAAAAGCAGCAGTGACATGTGTGTACATGTACCATTTATAAATCTGATATGGAATTCTTAATGCATTTAATTTAGTTTGGACATTAGTGTGCACCTGCTGTTCCCATCAGCACTTCCTCTGGCTTAACATATCACACACACAAGTTTGTAGAAAATGTTAGTTAGAAAATAACTGTTAAGGGTCAGATACATATATAAAAATAGCTTTAATCAAACCACTTTAGAGTAGACTGTTAAGGGTTTCCTATATTTTGACCTAATGCCCAAACTTCTGTACATTTTGTTAATAATGGCAATAATACTCAAGTTATTGGTTTACAATGTTAAAATATATATATAGTATATTTAAAAGGTAGTCTTCATTTAAATATCTTGCTAGTTGAAATTTGACATCTAAAATATCTTGAGTAGAACATGACCCTCCCCCATGAACAGAATTTGCTTGAATTTTTTACTAGTGTTCAAAAGGATAATTATTTAAGTTTTATAGCACCTTTCATTCCAGTGAACTCCAAAGCCCTTCTCTTTTACAGACTACATAGAATTAATTTTGTCTATTGAAACACCTCAAGCACTTTTTAGGATATGTGCAGCTTGTATAAGTAAAGTATCTCTGGGAGAAAAAGCAGTCACAGGGGAACAAAGCAACTGTGTAACAAAATATAGCAATACTGCACAACAGTTTTAGATAGTTACACTCTGCACATCTGAATTCTCTCTAACACTTTTGGAATGCAGTCAGGACACTGGGACTAATCACCCTCTTATGAAAAGGGGGAGATGTTTAGTGACCTCAGATGGTCAGCACTCTGATTTGCTTGTCCAAAAGACAGCAGCACTGGACCGCTATTATTATGATAGTGCATTCCTTCTAAATGATTCAGAAGAAGATTGCTTACTGAGATGCCTAAACTGCTTCTTTGAGCAGCTGGAGTTTATTTGGAGGTCTCCCACCCAGGTACTGATCCAGATCAGCACTGTTTATTTTGAGATTAGAAGCCCACAGCCTGAAGTGGTATTGCTGATGGCTTTAGGACAGTGGTTTTCAACTTGTTATCCGTGGACCCCTGGGGGTCTGCAGACTATGTCTAAGGGGTCATGAAAGGTGACTATGAAAATAAATGTTCAGATCTCAGAAAAGGCATTCTGTTTTTCTGATCAATCAAAACTATGAATACCCCCACCTACAGGTCCGAACCCGAAATTGGTGATGTTGGCATATAAAACCACAGTTTAGCGCCCTTTCTCATGCTGTGCCAAGCATGTGCAACATTTATAGTTAAATGCTGTTCAGTCAGTTTTCTAAGACTTCTATAGTAGGGGGGACCGTGGACCGCAGGTTGAATTTCCAAAGGGGTCCGCACCTCTATTTGAAATGTTTTAGGGGTCCACAAAGGAAGAAAGGTTGAAAACCACTACTTTAGGAGATGCATTTTCATATTAAAGCTATGGGTTTCTCCTCTAAAGAGAACAAGGTGTACCTCCCACATTCTTTTTCTGATCAGTTTTGTTGTTGAAATTTAAACTGAAACTGATTAACACTTCTGTAATTCCAGTGGCCTACTCTGTTGGAGACCAGGGAGAAATAGAGCTCTGTTGATTTATCTCATTCCCACACATCATATGAAAAATGTTTTGAGTCACAATCTCTCATAGTGCCTTGTAAATCAATAATTCAGAAATGTGCCCTACAATACAGATCCTTCAGGTTTATCCAAAACCTACTGCAAATGCTCTGACACTAAAAAGGAGTTTGAAATCTGCTACAAGAAAAGAGGATGAGCAGCTGGTAAACAACTGGCCCTTAATGAAGCCATACCATATTACAATATCTTCAGTTACTGCACAATTTAATTAGCTCAGTTTACCCTGCCAATCTGGAGAGACCAAACCATCGTCTTGGACAGCCACTGTAATAATTTCAGCTTCTTCATTGCTGGCCATAAAGCAGAATTTAGTCTCTTACAGTTAGGTATATCAAATATATATGTAATGTATGTAAATAGGTAATAATGCATATTCTGTATTACAAGCAGGTATTCTAAATATACCAATTAATTAAAAATAATCAGTTCCTTAATAATCGGTAGAAATCCAACATTCTAACTCTAAGTATTGCTACTAATGATACAGAGATGACTTCAGTGAAAAAAGCAAAGATTATTTAACTTATCTGTGTTTCAAAATGGACTCTTATTAAAATTTTGGCCTTAAACTTGTGCCCTAGTTGAAGCTAGTTTATAAAGATAAGAGAAAGTTATTGATTTACTATTTTGGCAAGGTAAATTATCCCAAGTCTGGGATTGCTATCTGAACTGGTACAATTTTGATTTAATTAAACGAATGCTGGTGTAATATTATTGATGTACTAACTTGATGCAAATACTCAGGACTAAGCAGTGTGTTTGCATGTGTCTACTATTGAAGTGTAGTTTTAAAAAATTTTCCTGAAACACACCGTTGTCTTATCTATTCCATTCATAAATTAGTCTTATTATATCACAGATATTAGCACTGTATGTCCATAAACTATGTTCCATCATCTCCATTAATTTCTTGGTTGATGATCTCTTGGGATGTTTGATTTTGTTCACACTAAAATATACCCAAAATTTCAGCCTCTAAAAATTCTGAATATTTGAACACTAGAAAATGCATAGTGATATAATTTTCATTAACTAAAAAAGGAAAGTTACATAACCAAACAAAATTCATTGATCAAGTGGCATTTTCTCAATGGTGGAACTTAATTTAGTTATATCCTGAGACGACATAGAGTTGCACTTTCCAAATTAAATATGTATGGGGATATCTGACTTCAAAGGTAATTGCTTCTTTATAAGCTCTCTCTATTAAGTGATGAGCCAGAACCACAATTGTCAGATTTGGCACTTATTAATTTATACAAACTGTGCTAATCCAGCTCTGGAACACTTTTGGTATGGTTGACCTGGTGTAACCTTTAAACTACAAATCTGTAATAATTATTGTTAATAATGGTGTGTTTAGTGCAAATTCCTCCAGGTACAATGGTAGTAAGATTGGTGACTTTGAAATTCTGTAGCCTCTAATGAATATTCATTTTTAATAGCATGAAATAACAGAACGCTTTTTTTAACTTTTATATTTTACAATATATAGATAGTGGTTAATTGTCATTACTCGACATCTTACAATATACACCTCTACCCCGATATAACACTGTCCTTGGGAGCCAAAAAATCTTACCGCGTTATAGTGAAACCGCGTTATATCGAACTTGCTTTGATCTGCCGCAGTGCGCAGCCCTGCCCCCCCGGAGCACTGCTTTACCGTGTTATATTTGAATTCATGTTATATCGGGTTGCATTATATCGGGGTAGAGGTATATGTTTAATCAACTTTGAAATTTTATGCAATACATACAGAAAGAAATCACCTAGCTGATATTAAGTCACTTGTCTCTTAATTCTTCCTCTATCTATACCCTTTTGGCTGGCTGACAAATGACCACATCTCGCAAACCGTATTCATTACAATAACCAACTGTAATGTGTTGATGCGCTTTGAGGAAACATTTTGTGTGTGTGTGTGTGCGTGTGCGTGCACATGCACGCACATGTGCTTGCCCCAATGAGAAACTAGCCTATTCACATTTTGTATATAAACTGGGAGCTGTTTTAGGAAAAAACAAAATCTATGGTTGGAATTAGAAGTAAATGTACATATTGCTTAGGTGATTTGATAGGCCTGAAAACCTCAGACAGTTACACAAGTTTAACTGTTTAGTACAGAATTACTATGCTTTATCATTTTAAACCAATTTTGCTGTAGAGGAGGTTGTCTTTTAAAAATTATCTTCTTTCCTATCCACAGGACATGAACTTGATTGACATTCTTTGGAGGCAAGATATAGACCTTGGGGCAAGACGTGAAGTTTTTGATTTTAGTCAAAGACAGAAGGAGTATGAACTCGAAAAGCAGAAGAAACTTGAAAAGGAGAGACAAGAACAGCTCCAAAAAGAGCAAGAAAAAGCTTTACTGGCTCAGCTGCAGCTGGATGAAGAAACAGGTGAATTTATTCCCATTCAGCCTGCCCAGCACATTGAGTCAGACAACACAGGCATGCCAACCAATTTTTCAAAGGTAAAAAACAGTCATTTTTCTCTTATGCCGATATATATCCTGTATATGTGTCTTCATTTCTCCTTCTTGTGAATAAGATGATAAAACTGCTGGTTACCTAAACTTAGTTTGTATTTGTAAGGGAGAAACCTTCACAGTCATCCAAAAATAAACTAATACATTTTTTCCCATATCTTTCCTACGTAGACTACAGATATTTCAAAACCAGAAGCAGATGCCTTGTCCTTTGATGACTGCATGCAGCTTTTGGCAGAAACATTCTCATTTGTAGATAATGAGGTAAAATATCAACCTAACGCTTAGTATAGTTGTGGTTGGTTGTGTGGTTTTTTTGGGGGGAAGGGGGGTAAGGGGAGGGAATGATAACATCTGTTGCACAACTTATTTGCAGGGTTTTTTTTTATTTCTATTATTATGATGAGTCTTAATGGGATATTTTCACACTATTGTACTATATGTTAGGCAAAATATAGTGATTTATATGTATCTAATACTCTTTCAAGGGGACACGTATGGATCTGTTATATGGGTATAATACAGAGAGCACCAAGAATGGCTTTTGCTTGATGCCTTACAGAGTTATGTATATTTATAAAATTCCAGGTTTCTTCGGCTGCATTTCAAGTGCTGGTACCTGCTCATATAGATAGCGACCCAATCTTCATTACTTCTAATCAGACTCAGCCACCTGAATCATCAATCCTTCAATCTCCTGTCGCTGATGTAGATAATATGCAAAACATAGAGCAAGTTTGGGAAGAATTACTGTCCATTCCAGAACTACAGGTAAGGGTTAATGTAGGCAGCAGCTGAAAGAATGGCAGAGTATTCTGGGAGAACATCTCCAAAGAATTCAAAACAATAACAGTGCAGTCATTCTTAAGGAATGGTAACAAGCCCATCAGGCTAGGAGCTGCAGGGTTTTTGTAAATCAGTGTACATTGATATAATTAAAATATAATTAATCAAAAGCTGTGTAAGAGGGGAGACTTCAAGAGAGGAAGATTATTTACCTAATACTGTATGAAAATATATGCTGTCTTCCTGGCCATAATGTTTCTATTTTTATTGATTCTTGAGCTGGCTCTGTGTTAAATACAGAAACCTGTTACTGCACTGTCATGTTTGAAATTGTACCTGCAGAAATGTGAGGAACCTCTAAATTATGGTTCCTACAGCAACCATTAGTCTATCCCCAAATTATACCACAAATACTTTTAAGTAGTATGTTTAACTTTATATATACTGTAATATATTAATGTAAATAATATAAAACACAAAACAGAATATTGCATATGTGGTGGGGGTCATAACTTGGCATTTCTTGATTGTCTTTGCAATTAATATTAGAAACTTTGAAGTTGCATTTATTTAGATTTTGCATTTATCTTCCATCATGGGAGAAAAAAGCTTTTAAAATAATATTGGTATATTAGAGACTAGTTATGGCTGCTTGTTCTATGAAAACATTATTTGTATTTCAGTTACAATCAAACTCTGTTAGGTGTTGTACCTGCAATGAATACGTCAGGCTAAAAATCACTTTGCTCTTTTACTAATCTTAGCATTTCAGAGACTATCTAGCTTATTTATTTAATCACCTCTGCTGTGTTTTTACTGGAACGTCACCCAAATTGGATTGTAAAATTAGACTAGTTTATTTTTAATTATTTATTTTAATGTTTTTCACAAGCCAAAAAACAGCAGCTTTGTGATTGCAAACCGATCAAAGGAATGCTTAAAAGCACACTGTCAATGTGAAAGCAAGTCAATTTAACAAAAATTAGTTAGAAAGCAATATCCGGTACTACATCTGCTCTGACCCTATCTTCCTTTTGCTAATTTTTGTGTTTTCACAATCCATTTTCCTGTGGTGTGTGTTTTTTGTTTGTTTGTTTGTTTTTTGTTTTTAAATCTTCCCTGTTGTTGTGTGAAAGACCCACACAACCAAAACAGGGAATTGAGTGACTATACAGGGGCAACAATGAAACTGACAATACAAAAAGTAAACTAAAAAAAGAAAAAACCCTTAAATGTCACTTATAATTCTGCGTAGAAGTTGAACAAATTTTCAGGGAGAAGACAGAGATTTAAGTTTAAGGAGAAAGGAAAAACAAAAGATCTCACATCTGGTAAATCCTAGTTTAGGTATGATTTTATTTGTGATTAAATAATCAGTGTGTGGCCCTCTTTAAGAGGACCAGAATTATTTTTGTAATTGCCTAATTCTAAAAGGACAGAAGGCATACTTTGATACCAGCTTCCTTCCATAAATGTTAAGACTGCTACCCAGTTGGAAAGAATGTTGTTTTTGTAGCCAATCAGGCCCATCAAAATAATAGTCCTCAACACTTACTTTTGGTTAACATTAGTGTATGTGGGTTAAATTAATGTTTGTAAAGCCCCATGTTAGTACTGTTTTTTATTACATAGTAAATTAAATTTCTCTGCACCAAACAGCTGCTTCATTGAGTACCACCTAAAAGACCAAAGATCTTGTAAAAATCTATTCCATAGTTTGAAATTTAAGGGATAGTTGTTTGCTGATATCATTCGGTAAATCATATGCAGTGGTTTTAAGTTGGCTATATTAATACTATATCTATTCGTATTCTGGTGCTGCTTAAGGTGTATTCAGATTCGGCAGCATCAGGATCCATATTGGCAATTTACTAGAGCAGGAGGGATGCATCTAGCTTCCGTATAATAGGAGCTTATTGCAGCAAGTCTTGTCTTTGGTTTATTGGTATGATTTTGGGACGCTACAGGTGCCAGAATGCTATGTTATCTACCTAGTGATTCTGCTGAGAACAAGAAGATTCATCCTCTGCTAGGACTTGCAGTCCCCAGAAACTGCCCCTTAGTAATAAAATAAGCACAGCAGTGGGCAGAGCTATAACCACCCGAGTTCTATAACAATGCTTTAATGGCCATTTTAGGTGTATATTGATCTCAGAAGGGCAATTTTAAATTTGTGGAATCCAGCAGCTATAGATGATAAAATATTTTGTGAATTTATTATTGATAAACTTCTCTTTGTAATATTTCTTCATATAGTGTCTTAACATTGAAAATGATAACCTGGCTGAAGTAACCACTATTGCAAACCCAGAAACCAAGCCATCAGAGATTCACAGTAACTTCTACAACTCATTACCCACTACTGATTTCCTCAGCACTTTTGAGGATTCCTTTCCTAACATCCTACCACCAGAAGACCTCAGCCAGTTGCGAGTGGATTCTTTAGATACCACTTCATGTTTAAGCTCCAACTTTTCTGAAGATTTCTACTCCACCTTTGTTGATCCAAAGGTGAATGGTGACACAGCAGCACCAAACATTGTCAACAAGTCATTTGCTGAAGTTCCATATGAACCTATTGATATTTCTGATTTCTCACTGTGTAAAGCTTTTAATGGTGACCATCAGGGAAATGCACCAGAATGTAATGATTCTGACTCTGGTATCTCATTGAACGCACATTCCAGTACTGCATCACCTGAACATTCTGTTGAATCATCTGTCTTTGGAGATGCATCTTTTGGATACAGTGATTCTGAAATGGAAGAAATGGAGAGTGCTCCTGGAAGTCTGCAACAGAGCAATGCTCAAATGTATTCATTGCAGTTCCATGATCCAGTCTCTCCTTCCCTAGGGCCAAGCACTCAAAAGTCTGATCTGCAATGTGTAAATACACCAAAGAGAGAACTACCTGCCAGTCCAGGCCACCCCAAAGCTCCATTTACAAGAGATAAACCTTCACGCTACCTTGAAGCTCATTTCACAAGAGATGAGCAAAGAGCAAAAGCTCTGCATATCCCTTTCTCTGTAGAAAAGATCATCAACCTTCCTGTGGATGACTTCAATGAAATGATGTCTAAGGAGCAGTTCAACGAGGCCCAGCTTGCACTTATTCGAGATATACGCAGGAGAGGCAAGAATAAAGTGGCTGCTCAAAACTGCCGTAAAAGAAAACTGGAAAACATAGTGGAACTGGAGCAAGACTTGGGTCATTTAAAGGATGAAAAAGAGAAATTGCTCAAAGAAAAAGGAGAGAATAACAAAAGCATCCGTCTGATGAAAAAGCAGCTTACCAACTTGTATCTTGAGGTCTTCAGCATGCTACATGATGAAAATGGAAAGCCTTACTCTCCCAGTGAATACTCACTGCAGCAAACAAAAGATGGCAGCATCTTCCTTGTTCCTAAAAGCAAGAAGCCAGAGACTAAATTTTGACAGGCAAGGAAGCTAACTGGCTTTGACAGAGCTGGTATTTTTATTCTAATAGCTTTTACTGTGATGTGAAATGCAGAATTGTCATATTTTAAAGTGATTCTATGCAAATATGTATCTAAAGTTAATGACTAGTATATTAAATACACAGGTTAAAAAACTATTAGTGCAATGCATATGTATGCAAAATGTGTAATCTCATTTTTCTAACAGTCAATATTTCCTTCTTTATAGCACCACTTTGGCTAGTTTCTGTATGAGTGTAAATATTTAAAGACCTCTTATTTATATACTGTTCTATCTCATCTGTTATATTCATAGATTTATATAAAATAAATATATATGATTTTAGCTGGCTAAATACAGTTGGTCTTGCAACAAATTGTATGACTTCAGACAAATTTTTATAAATATAAATAATGTTTGCCACTTTTCTTATATATTTTATTTGCTTTACATTTAAAACAAAAGCTTTAATTTAGTATACAAGTTGATACTTAATAAAGTATATTATTTTGATTTGTCTTAAGTTTGTGAAATCTTTTTTTTTAACTGCACGTCATTCATGTTTACTTCCCCTAAATAGGTTATTTACTAACTTACAAACGTTCACTTTTTTTTACAAAGGTGAGCCGTCATATAAACAAGCTATATAATTATTAATTTGAAATGCAGTATACGACATTGTCAGCATTACTAAGGCCAGGTCTATATACAGACCTATATTCGTATAACTCCATTGCTTAGGGACGTGAAAAATCCACACCCCCTGAGCAACATAATTCTATCAACCTAACCCTACATTTCCCCCGTGTAGATCGCGCTATGTTGGCAAAGAGCTTCTCCTGTTGGCATACCTACCGCCTCTTGGGGAGGTGGATTAGCTACACTGACAAGAGAAGCCCTCCCATTTGTGTAGAAGCATCTTCACTTAAGCACTACGGCGGTGCAGCCTGCGCCAGTGCAATGTTTTATGTGTTGACCTGACTTACGCTTCATATAAATAATTTTAACTACCTTTTAAAGAGGTACTGTCACCTTTAATGTAGAAATCTTAAGTCTAGCACTAATGTTTATTTTTTGCACTTTGCTAAGTTTGTTTAAACTAGTTTGGTTAGTTTCACTTTCTAGTTCTGATGCTGTAGCACAGTGGTTCCCAAATGGGGGTTCGTGAAATGTTACAGGGGATTATCAGGAAAAAATTCCCTAATGGCGGAAAGAATTGTTCCTAGGGACCCTGGGCAGCACGGGGCCAGCAGCCTGGAGCCCCTGGACTTCCAAGAGCTAAGCAGATCAAAGCAAGCATATCTATCATACTAAGGGAGATTTAAACTTCAAGACTCCTTATAAGAAATGGAAAGGGAGGTGGATATTTTTTGCTGTTTTTTAAATGAAATAGGCAGCTAGTATTGTTTTTAAAATTATTATGAAGAACAAGTTTAAGCTTTGTTGTAACGTGCGTTGTTTGCCTGGACTGCTCAAGACCTGAATGCTTGTATAGGAGGAACTCTGAGTTGGCTTCTTAAATACCTTCATGCTGTTTCACATCTGATACTCCTTGATGAAACATAGGAGCCTTGTCTTATAACAGGCTTATTCAAAGTGATATGAGCTACGAAAATGAGATCTTGGAAGAATTTTGCCGTTTTCATAATGTAATAAAAGTACTGTAATGATAAATAATAAGTGTGTAATAATCCTGTCATAAAAACAAATTTTATATTTCCGAGATCACTGCTTTTATAATTTATATTCAGGTAAAGGGGAGAAAATCCCTAGAAATATTCATTTTTACAAGGAGGCTCGCGAGACTTGACATTTTAGTGAAAGGGGTTCACAAGTTGTTAAAGTTTGGGAATTACTGCTGTAGCACAAAGCTGCAGTGTTTGTTTCACTACTGTAGAGAAATATCACGAGGCCAATGTGCTCATTAAATTCCACCTCCTACAAACACTCTTTCATATTAGATATTGTTCATTCTTTCCTGCCCATCCTTCCCACCATTATGGACTTAACCTTATTCATTCTCTCTCTCTCTTTTTCACGGATACCATTTTTAAAAACTAAGCTTAGTGCATTTAAACTGCAGAAGTGCTGTCAAGGCTAATTCCCCACTCTGGCACTTCGACTGCAAAAGGTGGGGGCCCACAAGGATTCTAAAAATTAATACTGGCCACTCCTGCCTTGTATTAAACTCCCAAGGTTACAGCTTTTCTCTGACCTTTGATTTGGTAGATGCTGCCACCACCCAAGTGCAGAACCCCTTTGACAGCCCAGGAAGGTGCACTTGGGAATTCCTTCCTATGGGGTACCCTCAAGCCCTTTCACTCACCTCTTCCCTCTCTTTTCCCCCCTGGAAGAGCTGAGAAAGGGAAAAAGGAAATCAGCTGTTGCAACCAGCTAATTAAATAACATGTGCACAAACCGCTTAAGACACAAAAATCCAATTCTCGTCTTAAACAAGGTAAATGTTCTTAATTAAAAAAGAAAAAGAAAATACATCTGGGAACTCAGGCTATTGCTAGATTTTAAAAGAGCAATTACAAGAATTAAGCACCAAGAATAGCTTTCTAGCTGAAAGGTGACAAGCAAAACAAAAGCATTTGGGGTTAGCCCAGAGGAATCCACAAGCCATACTGAAATAAAAGGGATAAACCTAATTGCCTCTTCCTAGACACTTCCTGATCTACTTACGTATGGGGTTTTAAATGAGTAGTTTCTAGGTATGATACTGATGATTTTTCATACCTGGCCCAAGCTTCTTACAACATAACTGCTGCCCTGTCTGCCTCTTCCCCAGGAGAACAACAACAACACACAGACAAAAAGGGAGTCTTGTTTCAAATTTAAAAAAATTCTAGCCTTCCCATTGGCTCTTTTGACCAGGTGCCCACTCACTTCCTTTTACCTATGCATAGCAGTGAGACTTTTTAACCCTTTACAGGTAGAGCAATTAGAGATCAGCTACTAAGAGGAATTTTATAGCTGCTGGCTGGCTGGGTGCCCATAAAAGGGAGCTACCCTCCCCCTGCCCTTCATTTATCACAAGTGCCTTTTAAAATTTAGCATAAATTTTTTCTTTAAAAATCAACATTCCATGTTTACACCATTATTTTGTCATTTGAGCACTACTTAAACAAATTATCATAATTATTAATTATAGGTATTTTTAATCCATTTAATTAAAACTTTATCTACATTACAAAGTTTTCAGTCCACAAATTCTGTAAGATTTACAATGCTTGTTCAATTACTATGTTGTACATTTCCTGACTCTTCCGTCAATAAGCATCATTTCACTGCTTTTACTTCATAACATCATAGAAAACTATAGCACACTGATCGCTTACATTACAGCTGCCAAATGAGTTCACTACTTGGGACTTATTGCTCTATTAAATAAAGAGCATTGTAGAGTTTGTGAGTATGACTTACAGAGAAATAAAGAATAGGGGCAAATAAGTAATATTTGATTATATGTCAACAGTTACATATGGGACTCAGATCACAGGGGTAAATATACAAAATACATCATCTGTATTTTGAAACACATCTATACTATTCCTTTACAGTAACAAGTACAGGTCTGAATAGTTATCTGTTATCAGTTATTCTGCATCTTTGGGGGGAAAAGCTATTTTTTACTTAGTCTGATTGTAAAGTGGTGCTGGTGAATTAACCTTTTGAAGATAATCTTTGCACAGATTCAAGTTTTTAACTGTACTTGAGCAACATGTCCAATACTAAACATTTGTCATTCAGCACTTTTCATAAAATGCAAAATACCAAATTGTTATTGGCACCATAATCTAAATCCTTGTGAAATCTACTTCTTTATGGATTTTGTGATTATTTTTAGTGTTCCAGATTCCTTTTATATAGATACCAAAAAAGTGAAAGGCCAGCAGGATACTGTTGCGTGACCTTGCGGTCTCTTTCTTGTGGTTTAGCACAAGCTGGCAGAGTCCTTGGAATGAAGATAGTGGCACAAGCTCAATAGTAACAGAACACACATTTATTACTAGAAGAGTGTACGAAGGCAGCTCCCCTCTTGCTGCTGGTGTTTCTTACTTCACCTTGCAGTATTACTCCCATTCCTAGGTCCCTTTGGAGGTTGTCTGTAGGTGTACCCCACACACACAGACCAAGCCAGCACAGTAACCCAGAACACAAACCCATTTCTGCTAACCTCAAGCAATCAAAAATAATGAGACTGGCCAAAAGAACCTGAATGCTTTTTAAACAAAGGGTGGGTGGGTGTGTGTGTGTGTGTGTGTGTGTTCTTCCAGATTCATTGGGTAAGGTGATTTTGGCCCCCAATGCAGGAGCTCTCACCTTGACATCTGCCAATCCCTTGACCAGCAATTAATCCTGTGCCCCCATCTCCAACCCACATCTGTGTCCTAGTCAATCCATCAGTCCACCTCCTACAACTGCCTTGACCACTCTGCCATCTGTTCAGCCTCCCAGCCTCACCTCTGCTTCTGGGTTTTTCACACGCACTCCAGGCTTGGGGGGCTGCAGTGGGACCTCCTCTCCCCCTACCAGGCAAAGAGGCCAGCTTCCAGGACAGTCCCTGTGCAGGCCAGGTTCTGTGGGGAGGTTGGTGGGGTGAGGAGCAGAGGAACTATCCTGTTGCTCACAGGAAAGGAGTGGGAGTGTAGAACTCCTTAGCCCCACAAGAGAAGGCTTCAGGTTGCTAAGGGGGGAGGGGGAGAGAGACTAAGCCAGTGCACTCTTCTTGCAGCAGTTCTGATTGGCTACTTGGTGCCAGGAGTAGGGCAAGTGGGGCAGCCCCCAACCCCTAGCAGGGCTCAGCTCCCAGGCAGACTGGGCTCCAGCTGTGTTGCCAACTCTTGCAATTTTAGCTATTCTGGGTTTTTCCCCCCTGTCTCACGAACACATGATGAAAGGTGACAACTCATGAATTTTCCCTTATTCAAAATGGCCACCATCTCCTATTGTCAATGGGGTGAAGCCACCAAAATGGCTGCCCTTCATAAAGTTGGCTGCCACCTCCCACTATTTTCAGAGAGATTGAAGCCATCCCCACAGGCAAAACAGGTGCCACTCTATGGTTCAAAGCAACAGAGGGTCCTGTGGCACCTTTGAGACTAACAGAAGTATTGGGAGCATAAGCTTTCGTGGGTAAGAACCTCACTTCTTCAGATGCAAGTAATGGAAATCTCCAGAGGCAGGTATAAATCAGTATGGAGATAACGAGGTTAGTTCAATCAGGGAGGGTGAGGTGCTCTGCTAACAGTTGAGGTGTGAACACCAAGGGAACATCAGATATCAGGAATACAAAAACCTGTAGGAGAACACTTCAGCCTATCTGGCCACACAATAGCAGATGTAAAGGTAGCCATCTTACAGCAAAAAACTTCAG